CTTGTCCTCTGTTCCTTCTTCCTCTTCTTTTTAAAAAAATGCTCATGCTGGCTTTCTACCAGATCATGCACCTTTGCTCATGTTGCTCTGTTATGGACTGAATGTGTCTCTCAAAAATTCAAATGTTAAAGTTGTAACTCCCTGTGTGTCTTTTCTCTTGTTGCTGAGACAAAATACCTGATACCCAAAGTTGAAGAGGAAAAGGTTTATCTGGCTTGTAGTTCATAGAGGTTTCAGTCCATAATCAGCTGGCTCCAAGGCAGGGCAGGGTGGCAGAGGGGCAACAGTTTATGGCGGAAGTTCATGCCACCCACAGGTAGCTAAAGCAACAAGGGGCCTTAACAGTGTCTTTCTGTTTCTCTTATCTTATTCAGGCTACTGGGATTAGGGCGGTGCCAAACCAATCACTCATAGCAGTTAAGTAATTGCACACCCTTAATCCTAGCACCACACATTCCAGATTTAGCTACTTTAGAAAAAGACTGCATGAGGCTTTGGGGGGACATCTAGACACAAGCCACAACGCTCCCAAAGTGGTAGTTATTTTGAACTGGAATGTTTCATGATAGATCACGAGGACAGGCCTGATGGGATTAGTGTCTTTGTAACTACAGCCAACATAGAATTTGATTTCTCTCTCTGCCAAGTGAGGACAGAGCACGAATGCAGGAGTCTGCGGGCCCGGAAGAGGTCCTTTGCCCAGAATCACAGCCATGCTGGCAGCCTGCGTGGCCTTTGAGCACCACAACAGTGTGGAAAAGCCTTTCTTTTGTTTGAGATAACCAGTTTATATTTTGCCTTGGTGGGTGGAGAGCTGAGATACTCTCTCTCTAAAACACTTGTCCTCTACTTTTTCTGTGTCCTTTCCCACAATTTTCATAGACCAATCCCCTTTAATTAGCTAATGATTTGTCTTATCCTTAAGAAGTTTAGGCACGCCTAGAAAACTGCTACCTTCTGGTGTAACTTCAATGTTCCTATTCTGGCCTCCCATAGTTCTATGAACATGCATCTATTACTTCACCAAAAACTCCTTCAGAACAGACATGATGGCTTATTTCCTTTGTATCCCTCAACTCTAAGCCTTGGGTCTGACATATGCTCTACACATATGGGGTAAAATAATTCATGGTAATAATCTGTTGAACTAAATGCTTCATCATATTTTTCATTTAATTTATTTGGGTTTATACTAATTTCTTTCTTAACAAACTGCGTATCTGAGTTCCTCAGGTCAAAATGAGAATCAGCTAGGCTTTATTTAGGCATGACTGCTAAGCCACCATTCACTAATATAGCTGACTCCTGAACAACCTGAGTTTGAACTATGCAGGTGCACTTACATGTGGAATTGTCTTTTGGTACCAGGGATCGAACTCGGGTCCTTGCGCTTGCGAGGCAGGAGATGGAACCACTGAGCTAAATCCCTGGCCCTGGAATTTTCTTTTTAAAGAGCAGGCAAACCGCTTATCCTAGAAATATTTAAAATTAAGAAAAAGTAAAGGATGCCCTAAATGCATAAAATATACAAATAAAAAAGATAAACTTATAAAAATTTCCACACAAGACTACACATGGTACCATATTCAGTTGGGAGAAATGTAAACAAATGCATGGTGCATTAAATCCTCTTAGGGTTTCAATCAAGAATACCCCTTGAGTCTCATGCACACGTAAGCAGGGCTTCTGAGAGGTGACTGATTTGTGGGTACAATATAGCTGGCTTGCTGTTAGGAGGGAGGGTTTGGTCAGAAGAGGTGGGTCAACGGAGGCGTGACCTGGAAGGGCCTATCTCCCTCTCAGGCTCCTCCCTTTTCTCTCTACTTCCTGGCCATCATGACGCCAGCAGTTTTCCTCTGAGGCAGGCCCTTCCACCATGACACTTCTTTCTGCCTTGGAGCCAGTCAACCATCGACTACAACAGAAACAAAAATAACCCTCCTCCTTTAACTTGCAGGTGTTGCGCATTGTGTTCCAGCAAGGAGAACAATGACTAAAGACAAATCCTAAGTGCATAAAGTACATTACATACTGTACCCTGTAATAATTTAGTGACCACTTCCCATTACTATTGATGTGAACTAGAGTATTGTAAATATCTGCTTAAAATGTCATGACATTGCTCATCCCCCCAAAATAGTACATCTTAGTAAAAAGTGTTGTGTTAATTGTTTATGTTAGGGATAAGTCTTCTGATCAAAGGCATGTTATTAGCAGTTAAATTCTGGAGAAATCAAGTTAGATGGACCCCCAGCCCACCTTAGCTATTAGTCTACTAACATCACAGTGCAGGGGCCACAGCTGCAGGCACTGCAACCATGAGCAGTAAGGCTAAGTAAGACCTAGCAGCCTCAGGGCTGCTGACACCACGTCCAAGCTCAGCACCTCTAATAGCAGTGCATTGCTCAACAAAGATTTGGGGACTGCAAAACGTTTTAATTAAGAAATGTGGTTTCATCAACAGGAATAAGACCAAGAAAGGTATCATACTAAAGAATAATCCCACGAAGTACTCTTGCAGTACAGGAGTGGAGAGTTTGTGGGGTGGATATTGCTGAAGAAAAGGATGTAGAGGCAACAAATTTTAGAGGCTGTGGTGGAGTGCCAGTTCAAGGCAGTAAATGTGCAGCAGACCGTGTCCACCCTATGGAGGTCTTCCGTATAATTACCAGCAGAATTACCAGAAGAGTGACAGCAGGGAATAGAAGGGATTGGAGGATGCTCCTAAAAGTAAGGCCACACAATGCAGCCCTGTCACAGACAGAAGTTTCTGCCTTACTATAGAGGTACAAAAGCCCTGACCACAGTATTCCAAACCTTCTGTGCAGGGAGACTGAGGGAAGGTGCTGACAGCCAGGGTGCAAGAGCACAATGAAGACCAGCCAGACAGTACTCACATCAAGGCTACATACAGTACATGATGGCACTTGGGCACTCCTCACGAGATAGTGTTAGAGAGGACACAATGAAGAGATTAAGGAAAATCAAGATGAGATCCAAGGTCAGCAGGAACCTCACTGGCTGTATTGCCCTAATTTCAATTACTGATTCAGATGCCCAGAAAAGCCTACATTACAAGATGGCAGAGACAACAGGAGCTGAACCACACCAGCTGAGGATTCATCTACTCCTGACACTGAGCAGGCAGGACTGAGAAAATGTTAGCTTTCCATCCCATCGTCATCAGTCATCCACCAGGAGAAACGAGCATGAGATTCCAACAGTAAGGAATAGACAAAGCCCTGAAGCTGAAGACCTTAAGTGCTTGTGTCTTGCCACTGATGGCTGAACTACAACTAGTTACACTGTTTACGCAGCATGAAGGCTTTATCATTTTTACTTAAAGATGTCTCTTTTTGGTAATGATAAACATGCTTAAAAAAAAAAAAGCCTGGTTTTTCTCAATATATCTTTAAAGTTTTTTCATCTTTTTCATATTTGGTCAAGTTGAAATTTTCAAGAACCTCATTTTAAATTTACAATAAAAGCTTACAACTTAAAAAATAAAGTCAACAACACACTACAAGCACGTGTTAATAAAGATCATTAAAAAAGAAAAAAAGCCAGGTGGCAGGAAGCATGAAGCAACAGCCCCAGCTACTTGATGGGCTGAGGCAAGAGGATCATTTGAGCCCAAGAGTTCAAGACCAGCTTGGGTGACATAAAAAGACCATGTCTCAAAAAATCCAAAACCAAACCTAATCAAACCAAAACCAAAACATTATATACTGATTTTTTACTATGTGGGGACAGGTGCCCAACATCCATATTGTTTAAGGGTCAACCGTGTACTTTATGGGTGCCATGCATCAAGAAGACAGGTATTCAAAAATACAGCTAAAAACGTATTTTGTGGCCAAGGGTGGAGCACAGCTGTAATACTCACTACTCGGGAGACAAAGGCAGGAGGATTCCAAGTTTGAGGGCAGACTGAGCAATTGAGATCCTGTTTTTTAAAAAAAGTATAGGGGATCTGGAGCTGTAATTCAGTGGTAAAACACTTGCCTAGCATATACCGGGCCCTGGTTCAATCCGTAGTATCAATAAAACAAAAAACAAAACAAAGAGCCAGGTCTGGTGGTTCAAGCTTGTAATCTCAGCACTCTGGGAGGCTAAGGCAGGGGTATCACAAGGAGAGGAGACAGGATAAAGAGAGGGAGAGAGGGAGGAAGGGAGGAACAAAGAAAAGGTCATTTTGTCTTTTACTTTTGTAGATAAGTTACTGAGTATGTATTAAACTACATTTGAGTGCTCGCTTCAGCAGCAAATATACTAAAATACATTTGAGTTCCCGCAGAGTGGTAATGTCAAATGCTTATTTAACAATAACAAAAACATTCATTTAAATCACTGAGAGAATCAGGGTCAAGAATAGTCTTCTGATATTTTGTTAACACCTATGAAACACCAAATAAGATTATGTCCTATAACCAAGGTTTCACTTTTATATTCTCTTGGCTGGAACTATTAAAAAGTTGTAGACACAATGCCCAATGGAAATGTTTTTATTGAAATGCTTTAAAAATATATTTGCAGTTTTTTAGGTGAACTAAGAAGAAACTTTGTAAAATTTTTTAGTGAATTTGCCACAGATGTTAGCTGAGGATAATTTTTGAAGTTTCTTTGACCTGAGAAGTTTTTTTTTTTTTTAGAAGTTTCTTATAAAGAGAAACTTTTGCTTTCCAAGAAGCTAGAAATCTTTTATCCTTCTAGACAAAGAAAATTTCACTGAACATATTTTCCAGTTTTACCTTGGCCACCAAAAAATTTAAAGGCAAATTTATGGCTTAATTACTATATCCCCATAGGACTTTCTGGTGAATATGTTTATTGTCAAATAATGATTCTGGATTCACCGTAAATCATATTCTCTTGGTTTTCCTGTCTTCTTGTGGTTGGTGTTTATTTTATCTAGAAAGGACATATGGTTAATGTCCCTCTCTAACATACTGAATTTCTACATATATGCTATACATGTTAAAAAATATTTATTTTCTCACCTGATTGGCTTGGCTTTGCAAGTAAACTCTTCTGGCATTCAGATCTTCAAAGGGAGTTGGTCTTATATTGGAGCTTCTGTAAGGGTCACTGGTAACAACTGTCTCTTGATGGAAAAAGTGTTCTCTCACTAGAGAACTGGAAGTATCCTCTTCAGTCACCTATTGGGAACAACCCTCAACTCATTAGTTCTCAGAAGAAAAAAATCTATCAAAGATATTTTATAATAAATATTTATGTATAGGATTAGCTAGCCATTTGAAAATAAAAGAGTATGAAATCTTGGGGGAGAAAACCCAAAAAACCATACCATCAAATGGGCTTTCTTACTGAAAACCACTTAAGAAGAATTAGAAGGCTACCACCCATGTAGAAGATATTCAATTCAAAAAAGCTTTTAATAATAACAAAAATGAATACATAGAAAATGAATTAGGAAAACATACAAATTGACATAAATCTTATTTTGCATGTTAAAAATAAAAAGGAAATAGCAAAAACTGTGCTAAAGATACAGTGGATAGAAGAAACAATACTAGTAGTCCATGTTCTTGTTGAATGAATTTAAGTAGCTTGAATCTGATGCTTCCTTTATAAAGATTTAAACCATCACAATAAGAGACTTAGATGGACACTCCTAGTCAATGATAGTTCCTAAAGACATGTTTTCAAAATTTCGACAACACACATGTTAAATAACTGAAATTTAGCAGATTACAAAGTCCTGGGTTTTGTTTCATTTAATTTTTAAAAGAAGTAAAATAATTTGAGTAAAATTATCCAAAATGCAAACAAAGAGCAAACTAAAAGACTGATGAAAGGAAAAAGGGACATGAATCTTTTGCAAATGGAAGGGGACTACAAGTCTGAGAGTGAAGGGGAGGGGAAGAAAATATAAAAGATTTAAGATGTGTCATGTACACATAACCAACTGAGCACACTCTTTCTACATTATAAACATGACTGAAGAATGATGATACTAATCATGGCAATTAAAATGGGGAAGGGAAGGGGAACAATAAGAATCAATAATGCTGAATACATGTACCCACTCCCTAAGATGAATCCATGCATTCCAAACATGTATTAATAAAAAAGAAATGGGATAACAATTTGCTATTATTTTCTCCATTAGTGTACAATTAATTTGAGAATGGTTACCGCCAAGTAAAATGGCTTAATAGTTTTACTTATCATTCTAAAATAAGACAGTATAGGAGTAGTACAGGGCTAGCAATTTTAAAGGTTCAAATCTTTATAAGGTTTCCTTTTTATAATTTAAAAAGTTGTTGCCATTTCTAAATTAATAAAATGACTCTCCTCCTACTTTTCTTCTCTCATGCCCTTCCATTCATTCATTCAATTTATTTATTTATTTATTTATTTATTTATTTATTTATTTATTTATTTATTTTTGTGGTGTTAGGGACTAAATTAGGGTCTTGCAAATGCTAGATAAGAGTCTGCCACTGAGCTACACACCCAGCTGCCAGGATATTTTAAACTTAAAAACACAAGTTCTAGTTCTTGATCTAGAACAGAGTAATTTGTGCACTAAATTTCTTTGGCACTCAACTTATTCAATTATAATTCTAATACCTACAGTATACTTCAGATCTAGTTAGGAAATAATAAGTGAAAATGCTCTGAAAATTAAAAGCTGTTATTGTGTTAGGAAATAAGCAATTAAAATTTAAAAATTCTGAGAATCCACAGTCACTTAAAAATAATTATGGCAAAACCAGTTATGGCTATTTTTACCTAATTTTCCAATATGCTTTGACAGTTAATGCTAAATTACTCAAAGGGAGGTGGCTAAACAGTAGTATCCAGCAAATGTTCCTTTAAAAATGTATAATTAAAAATAGGAATAAGAAAAATCAAAGAAATATATTTATCTTTTCCAGAGACATTTTAGAAATAAATGAATTGTCAGAAATCATAAACAAACTGAACAGAACACTCACACACACAAAAAAAAAGGTTGGGGAAAGAGCTTCAGTCAGAATTCTGTCTCATCCAATTAGGGTATAAAATGCAGTTAATTTCTCTGCATCACAATTTTTTTAAATTATAAACTGAATTAGAAGCTGTAACAGGGATAGTTGGGTAATCAAAAGATTAAAAATTATAAACAAGCATGAATTACAGCATCAATGACATTTTATAAAGTAATTATGCCTTTAATGGCAGTAATTTTTTATTAGGTTGTTTTTTTCTGAATTATGGTCTGAGAAGTCGTTTTAGAATGCTAAGTTAAAATAAACTTTTACATAATCTGTGCCTGAACAAACACTAAATGATTATACAACCCAGAATTTTACTGTACTGAGTTGGGTTTTTCTAGATATATATAACATTTTAAGACTCAATTCACTTATTTCTTTTTTAAAGAGAACAATCCAAAGTGCTTATTATTTCACTAATACACAAATTAAAATGCATGATATTTGTGCAGTGATATCAAAATGTTTACCAAAATTATAGTAAGTACACATCTAAACGAGTCTCAGATAATAAAATATTAAAGCATCATTCAGGTGTCTGAAATGGCAAACAAAACAACTGTTTGAAGATGCAGAGTATACACACTATTTACAATAAAACATATATTATTCATGAACAGGGAATCTAGTAACATTTTAGAAAATCCTCTTTACCCTACCGATTGTATTTTTTTCAGCAAGCTAAAAATATAGGTATATATTAAACTGGCAATGCTAAAAGTGGTGAAAAAGAAAACAGGCATCTTATTGACTGCTAATTCTATACTCACTGGAGGAAAATTTGCAAACAATTTCTGAAAAACTAATTTTAGTAAAATGTGTAAGAAAGTTTAAACACTTAAAAGTACTGCTAGGCATTAAAAATTTTAAAGCATAGATATTTCTAACACATTTTATATATTTTATAGCACTTGAAGAGTTTCTAGTAAGATATTTTGATTTGAAATTTTGAGTAATTGCAATATATTCCAAAACAAAGTTTCTTTGCCCAAATACTGGACTATTCCTTAAAAGAACAAAATATGTATGCATACAAAGTCACTCATTAAAAAAAAATGACCTCTGTTAACTACTTCTTAAATCTTGCATGGAAATTAAGTCACCAACGTGATGGTATTAGGAGATTGTACTATTTTGGGGGTGATTAAGGCACAAGGATGGCACCTTTACCAATGCAATTAACACCCTTAACAGAGAGACCCAGAAAGCTCTCTTGTTCCTCCACCTGTAAGGACACAGTAGAAGGTGCCATTTATGAACCTGAAAGTAGGCCCTCACCAGACAATGAATCTGCCAGAACCTTGACTGCAGTCTTCCCAGCTTCTCACATTTCTCAAAGCTAAACTTCTCTTGTTTATAAACGATCTAGTCTCTAGTATACTGCAAGGCTCAGAAAAAAATTTACCACGGCCTAAATAAGGAGGGATTCTGCCTGTTTTAACCCTAGAGCTTAGAACTAACTATGCTTTGTACGTGTAACAACCTATAAATAATCTGCTAGGCAAATATCTACAAATCAGACCATACTATATTAATATATATTATCCTGGAAGTAAGTGTATGATAGAAAAGAATGTAGAAGAATTCTTTAAAGAACAATAAAGCATCACATAAAACACTTTCCAATAACTGCTAAAAAATTGATTATGGAAAAAATTCTTTCAGTAATCCCCTTCCCATGCAAGAGCCTCTATTAGTATGTGACATGTCTTTCTAGATTTTCTAATGGATGTATATATTTTTATCCTCTGTATAATGTGATTCTATTCATATTACAGACAATCCAGCCATATAGTGCCTTTTCTTCCACATAGTAACAGTCCATGGACCTTCCCCAATGTCAGCATATAATGATCTACCTTTTATTTTGAAATAGTTGCAAAAAGTCCAATATTTAGATATGTCAGATATTATTTAGCCAATCCTCTAGTTATAAACATGTAGGCTATTTACAAATTTATATATATATATATATACACACACACACACACACATCTTGTCTACTTATACTTCCTTAATATTCTCTTAAATAAAATTGTTGAGTAAATAATATGTATTTATTCAATTATATTACTAAGCTGCCTCTGACAAGCTTATGTTTCAATTAAAAACCCTTCAACTGGCCAAGGATTTAGCTCAGTGGTTCCACCGCCTGACTCGCAAGCTCAAGGACCAGAGTTTGATCCCTGGTACCCAAAAAAACCCCCAAAACAAAAACCCTTCAACTGTTTATGGGAGAGGAACTATTTCCTTACATCTCTGCCCAATTAGACCTTATAATGTTATCAATCTTTGTCAATCTAACAAGAAAAGTATCTTATTTTCTAAAAAGATTGTACCATTTCCATAATTTAATGATAACCAAGATACTTTAATTTGGATATGATTGCAGAAAGTGTTGAGGCTTCTATGTTTTTTACTGGATTATAATCCTGTACAAGTAACTATTATGAAAACATGAATATAATTTAAAGGGCTGGAGATGTAGCTCAGTGCTAAAGTGCTTGCTTAGCATGTGTGAAGCCCTAGGTGATCCTCAGCAGTTCAAGTAAAGTTAGGTGGTTGAAAATGCCAAAACTTCCATTAAGAACAGAAAGGTGAAATCTTGATATGCACAAGACTGTACATATATTCATATGGTCTCCAGTTTAAAAACAAAAAACAACAACAAAAAAACTACAGTGACCGTAATACAGCCACAATCACTGTTTTTAGTACTGTGTGCTGGGATGAGTTCATCCATATTATCTAAAATAACCTAGGCCAACATTTAATGTACAATGGAAATTTGCTTTATCCTCAACTGCTGATAGATATAATTATTCTCTAATGACTAAGAGATTGTTTAGTTTTTTTCTTTTCCCAAGACTACTACAGCAATTTTGAGTGTAAAGGATACAGAGTAATGCAATAAAATAACTCTAGCTGTAGCTCTCCATCAGAACATAAGGTCTGTAGAGAAAATAAAAATAGACCTCGCTTCTCTCCACCCTTTGTCTTTTTTCAAATATTAACTGAGACAAAATTTAGTGTTCTCAATTTTTAAATGTACAATTCTCTATAAATAAGTGTAAGTAATGTCATAGTCTACATTTAATTAAGAATTTCCTTCTTGTAGATAAATATTACAAATCACAGGTTTAAAAATGTGTAGT